ACCTTTCACCCACCGGGGATACTAGAAGGAAGCAGCGGCGCCGCGCCCGCAAACGTCACCGTCATCAGCATTGCGCCCGCCCTTCCTTCCTAGAGAGAGTGATACCAGAGAGGAAGAGCTCCATGGAGGTGGCACGGCAAAAACCTATGCCCCCAAGCTTGGCCTCAGTGATACGCGAGAGCAAGAGCCTCCGCGAGGTAGGTGCCCCCTCGCCCGCCGCTCCTAGACTGATACGACAGAGCGAGAGCCTCCGCCACCTCTGCCCCCTCGCTCGCACTAAAGCTGACACCCACATCCTGCCCGCACTATCGCCGCGCGCCGCCGAGCCACGCACATTCTGCAGCCGTAAAGGACCCCACCCGCTGCCCTTGTGTTGCCCCCGCGGCCCCCGCCCGTCGCGCCTGTCCCGCGCCGCCGCCGTCGTCGTGTCGAAGTGACGCGCGAGTGACGGCGGAGTGACACCAAGCGACAGCGCCGAGATTGCCGAGAGCAGCGTCTCTTGATGCCGCGCCACGCCACGCCACGGCGCGGCGCGCCCCGGCCGGGCCCATCTCAGCACTTGGACTGATTGATCCCAACCCGACCGGAGGAGGCGCGGCGGGCGAGACGAGACGACACGGGACGGGCGCGAACCAACAAGTGCGGCGGAGGAGGGCGGTGGGCACAACACCCCAGGAAATCATTGACCAAAGACTGCAATCGGCAATCAAATCGGTCGGTTTAGACCAGCATTCAAGGGTAGTCCCTGAACTAGAAATACCATAGTTAGTAAGCTTTTCATTTTAGATATGTATAGATTGGAATGAATGAATGAATGAATGAATGAATGAATGAATGAATGAATGAATGAATGAATGAATGAATGAATGAATGAATGAATGAATGAACAGCTGAATGAATGGGTGGATAGATGGATGGCCGCCCTCATCGGCCACCTCCTTCACGCCTATTGCACTGGCGCCGCGGCGCCGCACGACGACGAATTGCCTCCTGGACCCCGTGTTGCTCCCGCAGCGGCGGTGGCGGCGGCGGCAGATCCGGCCAGATCAAGATCCTCCTCCTCCTCCCCTCCTCCCCAGACCAAGACCGGATGATATCCCGGATGGAGGCCCGTGCAGAGCTCCGCGCCCCTGAGCTTGGGATCTCAAGCAAGGCCCAAGGGGGACCCCCGACCCCGGCCGCCCTATTAATTCCTCGAGGATCACCCACACGATTAACTCCCCAGCTGGCGCGCCGGGGGTTCAGCTGCGGCGCCGACGCAAAGCGCTCGGCATTCACGCGCGCGCACGCACGCACAGAGGCACCAGCACAACAAGCAGGCGCGCCTGACAAAACAAATCAACAAACCTACCACCACCACCGTAATCTCCCTAGCGCTAAAGAACTCTCTCTCTCTCTCTCGGGCGGCGTCTGGACCCGGGACATCATCACCAGGGCGCACTCGGTGCCGCCGCTGGCCATTCCGTCGCGCCGAACAGCCTCCTTGGAGGGGCAGAGGCGCCGGATGAATAATTACAATAATTTAGCCGAGCCCTGCAAGGCCTCCCCCCCGAGGCCTCCTGCAAGGCCTCTACGGCCTCTATCTCCAGCGACATCCATTCCGCGCGCACGGCCACGGCCAACAACACGGCGCCGTCAGCGTCAGCGCCCTTTGTCTCTCTCTAATAGAGGCCGTGTCTTTATCTGTAGTCTTTAACGGGGGTTCATCGCCGCACGGGTCGGAGGGGCGCAAGCAGCGGAGTGACACCTCATTTCCACACCTGGCCGGCCGGTTGGGAGAGGGGGGGGAGAGAGAGAGAGAGAGAGAGAGAGAGAGAGAGAGAGGGGGGGGGGGAGGGGGGGGGAGACTTTAGTGCGGAGCTGCGTGGTGCTGAGCGAGCTCCCCTCAAGGAAATGGATCGCACAGCGGGGTGGGCGGGTGAGGGGCCTCCATAACCGCCCGGTGCCCTAAAGCCAAGCCGCCCCGCGCGCAGAAAACCAACCCTCTCCATAAGGTCCGAAACGGCCGGCCGGCCCGGACGCGCCGCCTCGACTCGCCTCGGAAGAAAATCAACACTCGAACGCAGCCTTATGGCCACACCCCGCCCCACCCGGCCCCCCCGTCTGTGTCAACAGGACTCGGCCATACTCACAGCAGGGTGCGCGGGGTGGAGGTGGGGGGTTGGGGCGTCATCGCGTTAGGGGGCGAAGCGCGCCTCTGCAAATATAAAACCCACCCCCCGCCAACCCCCTCGTGCTCCGCCAGGCCCCAGCCAGCCAGGATGATAAAGTGAGCAGTGCGTATGCCGTCCACTGGCCTTGTCAGGCCGCCAGCCGAGGCAATAACCAGACCAAATAGCTCAATCCTAATATGGATGAGCTGCGTGGCCGCGCGCCACGCCGTGGCCCTCGCCTGCCTGGTCCCCATCACGGCAAGGGTCATGGGTCATTCCCTTCCTCAGACTAGTCTTTCTCCTCAGGCCCGGTCTCTCCTCTCCTCTCGACTCGCTTCTTCTATGCCCGAGGAAAATAATTGGGCCATAGGGCTGCATTATGCGATCCGCCTTCCCAACAAGCGAATGCACCTCTAGTTGCATCACTCCCCTCTACTAGCCGCATCTCATCCTCCTGCAGGCGAGGCGGCCGCCTGGAAGCACGAGCACGGCGTGCGTCGGCCCGCCGCGGCCCGCCCGCCCCCACAAGTAGGGCACGAGCCTTGTTATCTGTCTATGGCTTTCGGGCTCCCGGCCAGCCTAACGGTGCATCTCTGCGGCGGCGCCGGCCGAAGCCACCGCTGCTGCTGTCGCCCGCTGTTCGATTCCCGTGGAACAGGACCACCGCCGCCGCCGTCCCCGACGCCGCCGCCGCAGCCCCGCACCTGACTTCCGGCGGAAGGGCGCCGCGCCGCCCCCCTGTCCATTGTGATCGGGAGGCCCGCGCGCCGCCGCCTCCAGTCGTGACGGCCGATAAGACTCTCGCGGCGGCGCCGCCGCCGCCTCCCTACACGACGGCTTGGGCCTCCCCTAATCATTTGTTCCCCACGGGTGATTGACTCCGCGAGGGCTGACGGCGGCGGCGGCCAAGGCAACACAGCAGAGTCTTCCACTTGTTCTCTCTCTCTCTCTCTTCTTTTCGTTCACGAATGGAAGTCGGGGGAAGAGCAGCAGAGGAGGGCCGAGCGGGCGGCGGGCGGCGAACGTGACCGGGACACTAACGCAGCCAGCCGATGGGGCTATTGCTGTGTATCGCCCCACCGACTTAATCTTTGTCAGGGCTTCGCCCCATTTCAATGTGCCCCCGCCCTCGTCTCGCTGCTCTCTTCCTCTTCCTTTCTCTCTCTCTCTCCCTCCACCTCTCTCTCTCTCTTTGTGTTTCTGCATGTTTCTCTCTCGCTCTTGTCCCTTGGACGCAGACAGGCAGACGCAGCCAGATGATGATGATGGCGATGTTAATTGGGCGCCGGTCCTCATTCGGCGCCTCATCGGGTTATGATGTCATCGCGAAGAGGAGGAGGAGGAGGATGTCCTAATTGGAAGGCGCTCGGCGGCGTGCTGCAGCCCGGGCCGTCCCCATCCGCCCCATTGGCCCGGCCCCGCCGCCTCATTCTGCTCAGAAATAAGCCAACAGCCCTCGCGGGGGCCGCGGGGGGCGCCGCGCGGGCAGGGCGGAGCGGGGCCCCGACGGCGCGGCCGCCGGGTGGGGACACGATGCCTTATCTCAGCCTAAAATACTGTACCGCTCCGTCAGCGGGGCCATTTGGGTGCTTTATTGTGCCAAATAATTCCTCGTGATCCGAGCTGCCTTCATCAACAAGATGAGCGGGCGCGACCTCTGCCCTGCGCCATCCCTCTAGCTGACTTACGCCCGCCTGCCCGCCCGCTCGCTCGCTCTCTATCTCTCTCCCGCTCTCTTGTTTCCGGCCCCCCAACTCGTTATAAAGAAGTTGGCGCTCTTGGTGGCAACACTGGGCGCGCGCGCGAAGCGCCCGCGAACGAGTCGCCCTCTTGACGAAGAATTAAATTCTTTATCTATACTTGGCGAAAAGTAATTTTAAAGACCGCGCCATTCCTCACAGTCGCGCCGGCGCGGTCCAACATCAAGATGCTGCACCGGAAGTCTGCAGCGCGACGAGAGAGGAGGCGCTGCTGACCGGAAGTGGGATGGTGGTGCGGGTGGTGGGAGGGAAGACCCCGCGGGGCGTCACCATGCGACGACACGAAGCAGACCAAGAAGAGCGAAAAATCCAACAGAGTCGGCAACAAATACTAAAACTGCTCCCGCGGGAGACTTCGTCGCGGGAGGGGATGGGGCGGACCGTCTAATGTGCAGATAAAGGACGAGACCCTCGCCCCTTAACTGATCAAACTTCTCGCGAATAGCGCCGCCCCGCCTTATCAAACGGACTCTGCCCCACTTTCTTAAATTCCCCAGTATCGCCCGCACGCCACGGCGCGCCAGGCAACGCAGGCGCGGGACACTGCAACTCGATATACGATATACCCGCGCCACGGAACGCGAGCCACCTGACATACCCATGCATACCGCAAGAGTCGGAGAGTCGGCGCGAGCAGTATGAGCCAAAGGGACAAGTCGAGAGAGTCTTAGAAACCACTCTTCGCTGAAAACGTCTACATTTCTTAAAACATATATCTCCCGCGCGATGTTTCTTCTTTTCCCTCGCGGATATCCGCCGCGCACTTCTCTAAAACGAGTTTTGATTAGCGGGGCGCGCTTCTCCTCGTCGCTGCTTCTCGAGCTGCTCGGCCGCCTCCAGGGGCACTCAGCTTAGCCCTGTGCTTCTGCTCTGCTCGGCCCCGCCCCGAGCGTACACCGGAGAGGGGCCGCCGCCATCACCGGCCGGGAGGTTGATCATCCTTGGCTTTGCCCCCGATGGCTTGACCTCAAGAAGATCGTATTGTCATCCGCCGGGACCAAAACGGGTCCGCCGGCGGAGGGGAAAGGGGG